GGGACCTGTTTTAACTCCTTGGAAAAACTTTCCCTAAAACTTCCAGAACTATTATTTGGAAGAGACCGGGTATCTTTAAAGTATTAAGTGGGAAGAAGCAAGCAGAGAACAGCCCCTAATGAGCTCAGGGTGACTCTGCCATTACTGGCTTTTGTGGCTGCATTTTCCAAGCTCTGCTGTCTGAGATATGTCAGTAATTAAAAGATCCAGTGAAGGATGGATCTGCAACTGCATTTCCCACATCCTTGGTGAGGTCTAAGCAATCAGAGTCTTGAAATAAACATTTGGTTGAAAAATTCCTCAGTACCGTGAGCTGAATCTACTCATCTCCTGTGCTGCAGCAGAGGCCTGAAAGTAGTTTGATTACATACAAAACAGTGTTTCAGTTAAAGGCTCTCGTTCAGTATCGCTGTGTTTTCCCTTATTTTGGATTATTGTGGTGCCATGTATTGGTCTTTTCTCCTGTGTGATGCCAGTTAATTTTCCTTTGTAAGGAAAGGCCTTGTGATGAATCATTTCACTGCTCAGCCTTAGATTTCATCAGTGAAAAGACAGTATTTATGTATAAATCATCCGTGTCTTAGAGGATGTTCTTCTCCAGCCTCACTGCTCAGCCCTGAGCAGACACGAGTGAGGTGGACATGCCGAACACGTGGTAATCAGGAGAGAAGTGTTCCAGGGACTGATAACCACGGGAAAGCTTCCCCCGTGTGTTCTTAGGCCCTGTGGCTTTTTAGCAAAACAAATGCAAACTGTCCAGCCCAAAATTATTGCTCTCTGTAAATATAAGGTGAATGGAAGTGCCTCCATTCTCTCCTTAGAGGAGATTTTGGTGTCACCACCGACTGTGACATTTACTGCAGGTACAGAGTTTGCACGCTGCCCTAAGGGAACCCAGACTGAGCATCTCGAGATTTTGGGCCAGGGGAGAGAGCTGTGGGTGTTTTTGCAGCACATCTGAACTGTGTGCATGAGTTAGGGTCTACAGATTTTAATAGCCTGTGTATGTTTTGTAGTCTTTTATGTTTCCTTAGCACCCCTCCACAATCATAGTTTTGTTCTTTTTATGTGGACTCTGGATCTTTGGTCTTGCATCAGCTTTGGGAGCTCTTGTGGTGGTTGTTTTGGATCACAGAATGAAGCTGGAAAGTAGCATGAGATTGGTGGTGAACTGCTCCATCACGAGCCACCAGCAGAATCACAGAAAAGTTGTTAGTATTTAGTATAAAACACTAAAGTCATTAGATGTTCTCCCTTTGACCATCAGTGAAAGACGCAGTTGAGGAACATGCCCCATGAACTCAGATTGCCCACATCCAGCAATCAGATTACAGAAGACTAAGACCTTTGGGCACTTCTCTGCGAGGCAGGCAGGGACAAGCAGTGCAGGCCAAGGCCCAGTTCCCACTGCCAAGCAAACAGAAGCCCAGGTGCTGAACAGACCGTGGCCACGCCGACGAGCTGCGTGTGCAGAACGTGGCTCTGCACGGAAGGGAGCGTCGCTCCTCTTCTTTGGCTGGTGTTCACTCGAGGGCTGTTTTATTTCAGCTCGGCTCTGGGCAGAGTTATTACAGATCCCCCAGCACAAGTTCCCTGTGATGAGAGAAACATGTGATCCTGGGACCCGAGAGAAGGAATTCTTCTGGAAGGCCCCTGCAGCGGGAAGGCTGCTCCTGGCCACCTGAGCAAACAGCCAGCCTGGCTGGTGAGCCCTGAAAAGCCAGCCCGGGGGACACAGGGAATGGCTGCACACAAGGGCCTTTGCTCTGGGCTTCCCCCCCTGCCCTGCCTGGCCAAAAGGTGACTTTGTGGGGCTGGGAGCATACTGCTGGGACGAAGCTGGTGGCACTGACTCAGACTCGGTGTGAGGAGCCCTGCCAGAGCAGAGCACACAGAAGCCCATCTCAGGCAGCCCAGCAGATGTGCAGAGGGGGTGCAAGGCAGCCGAGGCAGAGCTGCAGGGGGGAATTCTCCAGATGACAACCAGAAGAGCTGGGATGTGGGAGCCACAGCAGCAGAGATGGCTTTGGTAAGTGAATTCTGCAGAGACTGAGAGCCAAGCAACTGAGAGCACAAATGTGGGATTGGTCTTCACATGCCGAACAGATTTTGCTAATATCACTTTGTTATGCAAATATGTAATTATTTCGTTTCCCCTCGAAGGAGTATTTGTGGTTTCCTCTTCCCTGGGACTTCCGAGTGCTCGTGTGAAGGGAACAAATAACTGCCAGGTTACCGGGTTGTGTGTTTTGTGGCAAGCTCTGAAAAAGCACAAACCTGGAAGGTTTCTGGTGGAAGTTTTTTAAATAGCGGTTTTGAAGGCACTGCTGGAGGGTGGTGAGGCTGGCCCCGGCAATGGCACAGGAGTTGCTTACCACTTAAATGAACTTGGTTTACATGGAAGCCTGCTGTGTGCCTGTGACTAAGGTGTTAAAAGGCCAGGTTGCTTCACCTGTCGAGACTCTGTGGTGGATTGGGATGGACTGCACTACCATGGAGATGCTTGGGCCCAGCAGGGAGGAAACTGGGCCTGCAGACCCACCTGGAGCTGCACAGGCTGTGGCTGGGAGGGAGGGTAGCTGTTGAGAACTGTTGTTTGCAGCACTCGTGTAGAAGAAGTGGAGAATGAATAGCAGAGAGGTGCCAAAGCGCTGTTCCCTCAGAGGGCAGGGCTGAGCCTTTGTCAGCCGTCACTCACTGTGGAGAGGAACTTCTGTGTGCTCTGCTTTGCTTTGCTTTGCTTTGCTTTGTGTGCTCACAGGGCTCTGGCATTCAAAAATCTCGCAGCAAGGGGAGTATTTTTAAGCTTTGGGAGCTGCAGAACTCTGTGTGATGAGCGTCCTGCCACGTCACTGGGACAGTCCATAAAGCAAAGGTGTTCTTGGGCTCACACTCAGGAAACACAGCAGCCATCTGACAAGGGGGACTTGGAGAAGGCTTCTCGTGCCCCGAGAACTGACTCTTTCCTCTCTACCTCACTCCCAGAGTCCTCTTTCTCTCTCCTCTCGGGCTGTAACAGAGTTGTACAGGACTGACTTTCTATTTTAGATGTTTAAACAACCGCGGTCAAGTGGTGGGGCGAGGCTCTGAGAGCCAAATTCGGATTTAATTTTGCACGAACAGGGCTTTCTGCTAACACTGGAAAGGTTTTAAATAAAAGCTCAGCCATAGGGTGCTTGAGCTGCCACGATGAACTTACGTTAGCTCTTGACTAAACCCCCTTTGCTTGAGAATGGTGTTAAATCCGTGCTGTCTCTGAGGGCTTATTTTGTGTTTTAAAGTCGTTCTCAGATGGCCCGATCTCAAGAGTCAGGCCGCAGCTCAGAGGATGTGTTGGAGATGGCAAAACATCATATTCTTAGAGTGTATTGTTTGGCACTGGAGGTGTAGAAGAGGATTCAGTTCCTTTTATTTACGGAGTTGTGGTGTGTTGTTGATTGGGGTTTTTTTAAATATTGCTTTTCTCGGCAGTAGGAAATAACGTGACTGAAGCTTGAAATGGCAATTCCAGTATTTCAGATGCATAAAGAGTTGTCTTTGGGATTGGCAATTCAGCCATGGTTATTAGCCAGAGATTGCTGCTTGTGCTGATTTTTGTAGCTATCAGTTCAAATAATTTTGTTTTCTTTCTGCGGGGACCTGCATTGGTTTTATTACTTGTGTTCAAAAAATCAATCATGCCTTAATGTTTTAATTCTGAATGTTCACTTGGGCGGTTTGTTTTCTGTATTGCACTAATGTCCATGTCTTACACAGGAAAGGGAGAAGTACAGTTAATTGTACTGTTAGCATTGATGCTGACGCTGTGTGTTGTCCCAGTTCCTCACTGTGTGGGTGTGACTCAAATTGAGTATTCTACACCCTCGATGTCATTTCCCAGGAACTGGTAACAACAGACCGGTTGTAGCAGCTGCCCAGAGCACTCTTGGCCCCTCAGGCTATAAGCTGGGTGTTAAGAAGCCTGTGAGACAGAAGGATGTTCCTGTCCTCACAGGTGATAACACCCCTCGGGGAGTCACCGGCACCTCCACACCCAGCCTGAGGGGTCATGGCTGCTAACGGGCCACCGAGGATTCCAAAAATACCTCACCATTCATGGTCACCCAGTGTGGAACTCCCCGCCCTGGGGGAGGTGCTGGGCATTCCCACCCAGTGTAATTTGAGGGGCAATAACCAATGTATTGCAGTGTTGTATTTGGGGCTGGGTAATGATACACTTTGGGTAGCACGTTGAAAATGTGAATGGCCTCTGCTGGCAATACTGTGTGCGAAGCTCCATGCACTGATCTGCAGGCTGATCTTATTATTCCCCTTCTCTGGCTCAGAAACCAATGCATTTATAAACAGGGACAATTTAACGAGGCTCCTCTTCCACCTCCCCTGCGTTGCCAGGCAGATGTGCAGGTGAGGCACCCTTTGTGTTGTGAAGAGGATTTCGGAAGGGACAGTGTCATATCTGATGGGGTGTTGTGGCACTGGTAAGGGGAGTGAGATGTTTCTGTCCTTTTGGTGCTGAAAGGCAGCACGTGCAGGAGGCACGGGGAATTGTCCCAGCCGAGTAAGGATACCTGGCTGTTCCCTGCTGGAGTGGGGTCGTCCTCATGTGCAGGATTTCCCTGGGCGCGTGTCCCTCTCGGTGGGCTCGAGGCTGCTGGGCACACCTATGCCAGCCCCGTCTGGGTTGGAGGGTGACAGAGAAGGAAGCCGAGGGTCACCGAGCGTGACCTGGTACTCCCGGTATTCTGGAGAGGCGAGCAGAGCCCCAGCACAGCTCGGGGAGCATCCGTCCCACCTGCCCGGGGAGCATCCGTCCCACCTGCCCGCGGCGGACTGTGCTCT